AGAGCTAGTTCCAGGTTTTTAGAAAAACCCTTTCTCGAAAAACCAAAACCAAACCAAACCAAACCAAAATCCCAAAGCATACATGTAGAAACCTAGAATAAGTTGTAAGAAAAAAAGAACAGAATCAGACATAACGACTGAGATTGGGAGTTTGGGAGGTTTATTTGAGTAAAGAAATGATTTAAGATATCAAGTATGAGAGCATAAGAGATTATAACAGGAGAAACAGATTGAAGGACAGAACTGCATAAATACCATCTCAATATGCAAGACCTAAATGTAACACCATTTTCAGCAAGATATGGTGGAATGTGCCTACAATCTCAGCTGCTCAGGAGGCCCAGCAGAGCAATCACAAGTCTGAAACTGGGCCCGGATAACACTGCAATACTAAAAGACTGGGGTGTAGGTCAGCGGTAGAATCCATGCTTAGCATGCTCAATGCCCTGGGCTCAAGCCCAGCACAGAAACCAGAACCAAACAAGACTCTTAACAGATATGAAAGAAAGCCAATATAAATGAGACATCATAAAATGATAGCCAGAAAGAATTTATGTTGTAAATATGTTCTCTTGTGACAGAAAGTCAGTGAAATTCCAATGGGGGAAAATGCCAGTAAAGTTTCTTCTTGAATATGACCAACCTCATTCAAAAATTTATTTATTTAGGAGGGGGAAAAAAGGCCAAATAAGTGAGCACGCTCTGAACAGCAGCAATCTGAGGTTTGATCATATTGGGTAAGTGCTATAAAAGTTTCAGTCATTTGGCTGGTGAGACAGCTCAGCAGTAAGTAAGCCCTGAGCCTGGCGACCTGCTTGAACTCTGGAATCCATATAACAGTGGAAGGAGAGAATCTCTCCACAAGCTTGTCCTCTGACCTCTGCCACACAGAAAAAAAAAAAATGTCTTTTTTTTTTTTTTTTTAAGTTACAGTACTTAAAACAGAGATGTCAGGATGGGACAGATGGCTCAGCTGTTAAGAGCACTTACCTCTTCCATAGAATCTGAGTTCAGTTCCAAGCACTCACTTGGAGGCTCACAACCATCTGTAACTCTAGTTCTGGGGGATCTAATGCCCTCTTCTGACCTCCATGGGCACCACACATGCAGTGGTACACAGACATATACACATACACAATAACTGTACAAATAAAATTATCTTTTCAAGCCAGGCGGTGGCGGCGCATGCCTTTGATCCCAGTACTCAGGAGGCAGAGACAGATGGATCTCTATGAGTTCGAGGCCAACCTGGTTTACAAAGTGAGTTCCAGTATAGCCAGGGCGACACAGATAAACCCTGTCTTGAAAAACCACACACACACACACACACACACACACACACACACACACACACACATTTGTTTTTCCAAAGGGGGGGGCAGCATCTCAGACTTACTATAAGAGAGTCTGGAGAATATGTACACACACAGTAGGATACAACCCCACATGAGCTACTGACACAATCTAGAGGAAGTGTTGACTTCCATGGTTCTAGTCTTTTCTATCGAACCTTTCCCATACAGCTATCAGAATGAACTGTCTAAAACAGGTACATTATTGTTTTATTTATTTACTTTTTGAGAAAGGGTCTTTCTATGTAACCCTGGCTGTCCTGGAAAGCTTTTATGTAAACCAGGCCAGTCTTGAACTCAGAAACCCACCTGCTTTCCCTCCTATGTGCTGATATTAAAGATGTGCTACCATACCCTTTTAAAAAAAGATTTGATTTTTTTGAGACATGGTCTCCCTATGTAGCCCGGTTTGTCCTAGAACTCACTTTGTATATCAGGCTGGCCTCAAAATCAACTGCCGGTGCTGAGATTAAATGTGTATGCTCCCATGACCAGCTTCAATTTTAGTTTTGTGTCTATGTGTGTGCCATGGGGTGGAATAGTAAGTACATCTAGTTCAGGTGCATGTATAGGCCAGAGGAGGGTGTTGAATCCTTAGGAGCTGGAGAAATAGGCTGTATTAAGCCTCCTGAAGTTTGTGCTGGGAATCAAACGCAGGTCCCTCACAAGAGTAGTAAGCCCTCTTAACTGCTGAGCCATCTCTCCAGCACCCCCTCTTTTTAAAAATTTCTTAAATAGTGGCTTGGGGCCAGACAGATGGCTCAGTGGGTAAAGGCACTTGATGCCAAGTCTGATGACCTGAATTCAATTCCAGGGAGCCCTAAAGTGGAAGGAGAGAACTGACGCTTGCAGGCTGTCTTCTGAGGACCATCTGTGGGCCATGCACGCAGGCTCCTCTCTCCACAGATAATGTAATAGATTAAGAAAAGTTTGATGAAATAATGTTTCTTGAAATCAGTTGAAGCTATTTCATGACACACACACACACACACACACACACACACACACAGCGACTGGGCAGCCTGGGCGTAATGTTTTAGAGCAGAGCTAGGCCACAGGGCCTTGGCTCCTTCATGTTAAAGTCTCGGTCATTCAGTGTCTATTTGTAAAAAGGAAATAGTGTCGTCTTAAGGGATGGCTTAGGACAATTGAGTCACCACCACCAAAACAAAACCCTTTTTCTTTTTCTCTTTTCTCCCTTCTCCTTGAACTGAGGATGTAGTTGGGATAAGCATTTGCACAAGTGCAAGGCTTATATGTAGTAGGGCCTAGAAGAATCATTCCTGCTCCCTATGTAGTCTTCTTTCTTCAAGCCCAGATCAAAAGAAAACCTACTTAGATCCTTCTTTTAAGGAAAGCATTTGAAAAGAGAATGCTCTTCTCGATTTCCTGACCACCGTGCTTTCTCCATTTTATTGATAGTTTTCACTATACTGAATTAAGCACAGCACTACTTTCTTGCTTCCTCCCCCAATATTTACTTAACTTTATTTTATGTGCATTTGGTATGGTGTCAGAGTCCCTGGAACTGGAGTTAGACAGTTGTGAACTGCCACGTGGGTGTTAAGAATCGAACCTGGGTTCTCTGGGAGAACAGCCAGTACTCTTAACTGCTGAGTCATCTCTCTAGCCCCAAGGCAGTGTAATGCAGATTTTGTTTTGTTTTGTTTTTCAAGACAGGATTCAGTTTCTCTGTGTATTTTTTGGCTGTCCTGGAACTCGTGCTGTAGACTAGGCTGTCCTCGACCTCACAAAGACCCACCTGCCTCTACCTCCCAAGTACTGGGGGGCGTGCACCACAACACCCAACTTACTTTCTTGCTTTTTACAACAGTGACCAATTTAAAATGGCAAGTTGGATTCAGAGGAAAGAAAGACAATAGTAGTACTGACTGTCAAGTGAATGTCTATATCCTTTATTAGAAAAAGATTTGGGGGCTGGAGAGATGGCTCAGAGGTTAAGGACACTGACTGTTATTCCAGAGGTCCTGAGTTCAATTCCCAGCAACCACATGGTGGCTCACAACCATCTAAAATGAGATCTGGTGCCCTCTTCTGGCCTGCAGGCATACATGGAGGCAGAACACTGTATTGTATATGTAATAAATAAAATCTAAAAAAAAAAAAAAAGATTTGGGAGGCTGGGTGTCTAGCATGTTTGAGACCTTGAGCTCAAACCTAAGAACTGGAAAAAAAAAAAAGACGGATTTCTGGTCCCATATTTTTATGCCCTATTGGAAATGATCAAGAAAATATAAATATTAAATATTAATATTAGGGGACACACTGCCCCCATACTGTCTTGCAAATAAATACAGGCTTTGATGCAAATCTTGAAACAAATTTGCATATAATTCAATTCTAATAATTGTAGTATAAAACATTAATAAGACAAAGGGGCAGGAGAGATGTTCAGTGGTTCTCTCATTACATGCTCTTCCAGAGGGGAAGAGTTCAGTTCCCAGCACTGTTACAGGGGTTCACAACTGGCTATAACTCCAGTTCCAGGGAACCTGACATTCTTTTGGTCTTTGTGGGCACCAGGAATACATGCAGTGCACATACATGCATATAGGCAAAATACCCATAAAATAATTCTTAAAAAAAAAAGAGTACTCCTTCCTTGGAGCCTCCCCACTCTCAGGATTCTTTCTCACTTTTCCTTAATAAATCTACATTAGCACTTTTTCAAAACCAACAACTTCCCCAAATTCAGCCAACTGCATAAATCAATCCTGATAAGAATGATCTAGAATAAAGTCTAGCATAAATATATACTAAATACATACTAAGTAAATAAAAAGGAATGTTTAAATGGCGATTTCTGTGAAAGATCTGTAATTTAAAAGTGAACTGGAATGACACACAACTACATGGGAAAAGAGGTCATGGGCAATTTTGAAAATCAACTTTATTGAGGTATAATTTGATATATCATAAAATTCACCCACTGTATGTATACAGTTTAAGTTGTGCAATCATCATCATACTTAAGTGTCATTTTTTTTCTTGTTTTGTACCATAACACAAGTCTTATTTTTGAAGTGTTCACTTAATGAAAGCTGGGTGGAGATGAACTCTAAAATTAAGTAGTTTTTACCTAGTTACCTGAGGTAACTTCCAATCTGACTATACATATATTTTCGTAGCGCACAACGAATTTCAAAGTAGCAGGAACGTCTTTTGCTGTTTTTAGGAAAGAAACTTGGTGGGCTGGGCAGACAGCACACAGCTCAGACTGTTTGGTGCACGATTATATTTGATCCTTCTGTAAATAGATGGTTCCTCCGGATAAAAGGTCAGGCACATCCATCGGCTCACATCTGTAATCCCCATACTGGGGCAGCTAGACTGCAGTGAGACTGTCTTAAAAAGACAAAGCACTCAGTACAGTCGCAGTTCCCAAAGGAACGTGCAGGTACTGAATGGAACCAACGAAGAGCAACCGCTTTTCTGCTCCTCAGTTTGGCTGGGGAAGAGTGGGATTCGCTCGGGGTTCTACAACCTGTCTGGGAAGCCGGCTGTTTCTGTCCAAGCCAGCGACGAGCACAAGAAAAGGACCCTGGGTGTATTCACCTAGCTATACCTAAAGAAAACCTTTCGGGAAGAAGTAATTGAGATCGGTTAGTTCCCTAACCCGGCTCCTACCTGCGGAGAAGCAGAGCAAGAACACCCGCTGCCCGAGGCGGGCCAAGCCTAGCACCGTGGGAGCAAAGAACATGGCTTCATCGTCCGGGTGCGCGATCACCAGAAGGGCCCGGCTTCCGGCTCCCGGCAGGCCCGCCTGCTCCGGAGACCTCATTCGTTCCGCCGAGTTCCGAACCCGGAGGAAGCCCCATGTCAGGACGGCCACCGCCACCGCACACAAGAGACCCACTACTTCCATGCCGGGTAAGTGACACCGCGCCTGCGCAGAAGGGAAGGCTGGGGAGTGGACTCGGGCTCCTGCGGGAAAACTGAACCCGCTGCAACTGCGTTCCGTGCTTAAATGCTCCGTGGCTGGACACCGGCGAGATTCGTGGGCTCACGTGGAAACTTCCACCCATACTGCGCCTTGGCGTCTTTGACATAGCCGTGGCCAATCCCGGTACCTGCTGCAGTTACAGGGCTAAGCCGGAAGAACTCTGTGCGGTCTGGTATCGGTTCCTACCGTTCAGTGTGCTTAAAAGGAAGCATTTAAAAATCATTTTGAGATAGCGTCTCGCAGTGTGTACCCCCGGGAACCCCTGAATTCACTATGAAGACCAGACTGGTCTCGAATTTGCAAAGATCCTCATTCCTCTGCCTCCCGAGCTGGGACTTCAGGCGTCACAGCACGCCGGCCGAAACGGGAGCCTCAGAAAGTAAACTTCACCGTTTGGTAGGAAGAGTTCCCTCGTTTCAACTCCCTTCCTAACCCACTTCTTAACGACCCAAGATATCGTATACACAGCCCGCTACCCGGGTAAAAGTTTTCCGGAGCGGGTCACACTTTGTCCGAGGGAAAGTGAGCCGCTAGGAGGAAACTTCATTTCGCTAGAAGAGTGAGGGTCAGAGTGCGGTCAGGGGGCCCCTCAAGTCTCCGAAGAGGTAGCGATTAAGGAGCCAAGCCGCGGAGAAGGCCTAGCCCGCCATTCCGGTGAAGACTTGGTGTGAAATTAACGTGCATCCTTGGCCACGTGGACTCGGGCTTCTCTCTCCGGCTGGGAGCGAACAACCGCTCCGGCGGCGCGCAGGGGTCGCAAGGTTAGCCTCGCGCCGGGCGCCTGGTCCTTTCCCACGCCCGAGGGGGAAGGCCCCGGGCGCGCGGGAGCCGCAGCTCGCGGTGGCGCTCCAGGCAGAGTGCGCGATGGCGGACGCGGCGGGTCGGGCCCGAGGCAGCGCTGCCGGAGCGGGTGTGAGTGTGAGGGACAACCTGAAAGGAACCGGCGCGGCACCCACGACCCAGGAAGCGAGGCCGAGGTAAGCCCGGCGCTCCGCCCGGGGAGGGAGTCGTCTCCCCAACCCTCCGGAAGGAGGAGGAGCCCGCGTCGGAGCCGCCTCAGCGCGGCCGCCCGGCCTGAGGGGGAGGGAGAGGGGTTGAGGCAAGATGGCGGCTAAGGTGGCGAAGCTGCGGCGGCGGCCGGAGTGAGCGCCCAGCTCGCCGTGCCGAGCGAGGGGCCGGGCGGAGGGCCGCGCGCCGGGGGCCGCGCCCCGCTCGTCCGGCCGTGGGGCGCGCCGGCTCCCACACTCCGCCAGCTCCGGGTGAGTAGGCCCGGTGCCTGCAGCCCCGGCCTCGGGGCCCTGCTCGCCCGGGAGCTTCCGAGGGCTTTCAGGGCGCCAGTGCCGGAGGCGGCTTCTCGGCCGGGCCGGGGGCGTCGCGAACTGCGCTGGGTTGGGAGCCGTCCGAGCCGCCGGTCTCTTCCTCCTGGCCACCCAGGGGCGAGTCGGGCGCGGCGGGGAGTTCGGGCTAAGGCGAGTGGAGGCTCCTGGAGTTTGGAGGAAGAATGGCCTCAGGCGGGCAGACGTCGGCCTGAGGTATCTGCCCTGTGGGGAGGGGGCGTGTGGTGCCTGCGGAGCTGGCGGAGGGGGTGCGGGCATGGAGGGCCCCCGGGTGGGGCCGGCGCAGGTGACCCGCCGAGGCCCACTCTCAGGGAGAGTTGGTGGCTGCCTGGCGAGCGTGGAAGGGGTTAAGGAGGGTGACAGCGATGGACAAGTGTGTGAAGAGCAAACTAGTTCACCTTTCTAACTGGCCCACTTGAGGTATAATGGCGAAGGGTTGGTAGCGGTGCGGATGCAAAGAGCAGCACCCTCTGCCTCCTGCCGTTTGTTATTGGTGTTTTCTTGTGCCAAGTGGGAGAGTGCACCCTCTTTTTTTTGGGGGGGGGGAGACAACGACGACCGCGATTTGAGAAACTAATTGAGAAAGCAACCTTAACCGAAAGGACACTGTTCTTAGAATTAGTGCGGATCAGGGATGTATGAAAAGTGGATGGGAAGAAATGATGGCTGTGAAGAGTATTGGCCAGGTCGTATGCCACAGTGCCTGTTCAACAGTTAACAGAGTAGCGCTGTGGGTAATTTTAATCTTTGGGATTAGTAGATTCACCTGCATCAGATTTGCGACCCTAATTATATCCTCTGATATTTGAAATTTACATTCCTTGTGTGTGCACCCTGGTGAGAGCATGGTGGGAGGCAGAAAGGGGCTGTCTGTAAAGAGCCACAGGCCTGGGATTTAAAAATGCCTGCCCATTCGTTCATTTGTTCCAGGGTATCTTCATGAACAGTTTCTGCTGATTCTGAGTCACATGGAATAGCTGGTGGATAAACGGAGAGCTGATGTTTTAAATTAATTAATTTAGTTTGTTTTGAGACCGTTTAAGTCTCTAGGACTCGCTGGCCTGGAACGCCCCATGTAACTGGTGCAGGAATTGCATGCTTGCACCACCATACCTGGCATACTGTTTAGTTTTTAGTATTTTGGGGAAATGTTTTAATATATCCTCTCATAAGTTTATTGGATGAGCTAGTTCACATTTAGCTATGGGTAAGAATTACAGAAAAAAAAAGCTAACCTACTAAAGAGAAATCTTATTTTCTTATTCTATTAAAATCTGGTGGCAGTTAGCCTGGTGGTGCACTCCATTAATCCCAGCACTCGGGAGGCAGAGGCAGGTGGATCTCTGTGAGTTCGAGGCCAGCCTGGTCTACAAGAGCTAGTTCCAGGACAGGCTCCAAAGCTACAGAGAAACCCTGTCTCGAAAAAAAAAAATCCGGTGGCAGTTTAGTGTATTTTAGTATTTATTGCTTCCAGTTCCTTTGTCTTAAGTGCACCTGTTAATGAAAAATCAAAGTGTGTTTGCATGTATGTGTGTGTGTGTATACATATCTAGAAAGTGATTACCTGCCATACCAAACACTTCTCTCTTAGAAAAGACTCGCCATGTGTTGTAATACTTGTCCTGAGCTACTCTAATACTAAAAATCATGATGGTCCCTGTCATTAGCTGGCGTTTAGGCATGTTCAACCTTTCCGTGCTTCAGTTTCCTCATCTGTAATATGAGAAAAACCTGACCGCACAGCTTTCGTGGTTGTGAGGCTAGACTGAGGTAGTAGTTAAGAAATTGAACAGGAGCTGCAGCCCAGTTGGTAGATAGCTCAGCTGACATGCCTGTAGCCCCAGGTTTGATTTCCCCAGCACCACATAAAAGCAGACACTTGCCCACTTAGGAGCTGGAGGCAGGAAGATTACAAATTCAAGGTTGTCCACAGCTAGATTACAAGTTCAAGCTTGTCCACAGCTATATATTGAAGCCAACTTGGGATTTTTATGACCCTGTTTTAAAAAAAAGTTATAAAATTATTTTAAACAGATGAAAAGGATTGTGTTTCTGTGAGATAGAAATGGTTTATCTGCAAATCTCTCATGGTGCAGTTAGAAAAAATATTCACATTACAACATATTCATATTACAACATCAGAATATACCTGTTGCTAATATATTTATATAGCTATGATTCTCTCTCATGAATTTAAAAAAGAATATATTGCCTGGCATAGTGATCTTAATGATAATTACAGATCTGAGTTTGAGGCCAGACCCGTCTACTTAGTGAGTTTCAGGCCAAAAAAGGTCTAAATAGAGAGATGGTGTCTCAAAAAAGGAAGAGGAGGAGTAGATAATACATAGTTGTTGTTTTTCAAGACAGTGTTTCTCTGTGTAGTTTGGAGCCTGTCCTGCAACTCGTTTGTACACCAGGCTGGCCTCGAACTCACAGATCCTCCTGCCTCTGCCTGGGATTAAAGGCATGTGACAGCATCGCCTGGTCTAGGTGGCATTGGAAAAAAAAAGTAACCTTGGGACTGGAGAGATCAGACTGGGTGGTTAAGAGTGCTTTTTGTGTTTGTAGAAGCCCACATTTGGTTCCCAGCACCCATATGCCAGCACACAGCTATCTGTAACTCCGGTTCTAATGGATCTAATGCCCTCTTGGCCTCCAAGGGCACCAAGTACACATGTGGTGCGCATATATACATGTAGGCAAACACTCATGTGCATAAAAATGAATAAATACATAGTGAACTGGAAATGCTGGATTTTCCTCAAGATAAAGAAAAAAACGAAATGCTTGAAGTTAACTTGTTTCTTTGAATTTAATTGAATAGGAATTTGTTCCAAGGCCAGGCAAGTTTAGATCATTCTATCTTTTTAAAGCACTTAAGATTTACTTATGGATTTATTTACTTATTTATGGTGAAACAATGAATTCTTTGCTATTGTCACTTGTTTTGTCCTTTGAAAGTCCAGGGATTGATGTAGATGAATATCAGGCTATTGTTATTTATGTGCCCCCCCTTTGTGTTTGTGTTTTCTTACTCAGTTTTCATCTATCTTAGTTGTAATTTCATATTTTTTATTGGAACCTGGAAATGACACTGTTCTTATGTAGTTAGTTACCTCTATCTGTTGTTTTTTACATATTAAAAAGTACCTTTATTTATTGTGAATGTGAATGTCTGTATGCCCATGGACATGTGTGGGGTGGTCAGGACAGCTTTTAGAATTTTGTTTTACTGCATGGTTGGCAGCCTTGATTATAAGTGCCTTTACCTGTTAAGCCGTCTCACCAGCTGTTCTGTTTGTTTTGAGAAGGTTTATGTTGCCTAGTCTGGCCTCCTAGAAGTGAACTCACGTGATTCTTATTCTTCCTAAGTAGCTGGAGCTACAGGTGGGCACCATAGCACCAGGCCTCATCTGTTCTTTTGGTTCTCTTGTTATATTTTATTAGAGTATGATGTAAAAGTAAGTAGTAAAGGTCGATCAGAATTTATAAAATGAGACGTATTTAAGATCAGAGACTTATATTTCAGTCATTCACTTGTTTAGTGTGAAGCACTTTCATGTTTAATTCTATAAAGGCATAAATAA